AATCAAGTTACTTAAAAGCCAAATGCTCATCGAGTATTAAAAACAAAGGAATAGTCTTGTCAATCTGGTGAAAGTTTTCAAGTGCGGATCACTTGTTCATTTGGTGAGTTCCATCCTCGTTCCTAAATAGTAATTAGTGGATAGGGTGTGTGGTAGCAAAGGTTTCTATACTTTATTTCATATTTAGTTTACATGAACTCTAAAATTAGTTTTTTTTTCATCCTCCAACTTAACTCTGCGTTGCATGAGTGGTCATTCCATCAAATCTGTCTTCTTTTCCATCAAATTTAAGGATACAGTGGATTTTTCATACAGGAAAAAAAATGTAATTTATTTTATAAAGGAGGAGCTCGGCTCTTAAGATTAAGAGGAGTTTCTCCTCAAAATACTTCTTGGTCTACTTAGAAGTTAGTGCTTATGATATGAACCGTTTATATTATAAATTATTATGTAAAAATCATCTCTGCAAAAAATAATTAAAGCTAAGATCGTTTAGTCATATCCTTAAGGAGTTTCAATCATAAGCACAAAGTTTTATGAATTGGTCACAAGGTATTTTAAGGAGGAGTTTCTCCTCAATCCTTGAGGAGCCAAGTATCTTTCTAAAAAAAAAAAAATCATTTTCTTATTGTTTGGATGAAATTCCAATTTTATTCCTCAATTAGAATGATTATAATTTGAAGACAGAAGAAACTATTAGTAGACTTCAGAGACAAAAATTAAACTCGTAGTATAAATCAGAGACTTTGTTAAAATTTAGTCTTGTGGATATTATGATACTCGTGTGTATGTTGGAATTGAGGCCGACCAAAATGGTATATTATATATTAATGGAAGGTTTAAATAATGGATTAAACAATAAAAAGGAAAGTGAAAGAATCAAATATATTCCAACCGCCAGAACTGAAAGTGGATGCTAGGATTTGGGTTTTGATTTACAAACCAGAAATGTCGTGGGAAGCTGGGAATCCCCGCATTAAACGACGAAAACAGAAATTAGAAACGCATAAAGTTGTCGAAACATGGTGACTGATGACGTGTAAATATAGAGAGAGTCCCACAAATGAAAATGGAACTGCGTGCAACACCTGGGCAGATGCCATTGGAGAGAAGAAATTTGGAGGATTTTTTGGGAGGTTTCATACGACGAATTTTTTAGTGTTACATTACACGCATAATGAATGAAGAGTTGAATATATAATTAATGGTCTAATGCCCTAAGATCCAACAGCCAACAATTTAAAATAATTGCGACGGGCGAAGAAATCCAAAATTATTTAAACAACAAAGGCAAAACTTCCTATTTCAATGAGCTAGTAGTGGTGAAGAGAAAATAAGAATTGATTATTGCTAGCGGAAAGTTTCAAACAATGTGTCTCCATAGTCCATAGAGAGACAAATGACACATCGCAGCATAAGTTGTTGGCCTCTCTATGAATCCCAATGCAGCATTTGCATTAGCTAAACATAGTTAGGTGTCAAATTTATTATTCATGAAAGTAATACTTCATACTTCCGTTTACAAATGATGAAAAATAATTTGATAAATCATGAGATTATACTAGATTTTAACAATGTAGGTAATCAAATGAGTACAATCAAAATCTAATCCAACACATGAGCTTAGTCAAGAAACCATATCATCAAAGATAAAAAAGAATTCAAATACACCAAACTAGTCATATATTAGGTATTCGGTTCACTTGGTAACAAAAATGAAAACAGAAAATATATCTTAAGAATCTCAAATTCAAAAGTGAACGTCTGTTGGGGGATTTTTGTGAAATCATTTGTCTGCAATTTTTGGATCACTAATATCTCTGTAGGTCCCATGATTACCTTTCTCTTTGTTTGTTGTGGTCTCTTGTCTCTTGACATGTGTTCTTTGTTTGGAGATTTGTCCTCCCCTGGTTAATATTTTCTTGGCCAAATTGTTTTCGTGGCCTATGTGGTAACACGTCATTATCAATATCTCATGATGTTGAAAAAATTGTTAACTAAACTCTTGTGGTGAAGTTTGTTAGCAATTGAGGTCTAAACCAAACTTCCGTTAATATTCCCCTTAAACAAACTCACGTGAAGGGGTCAAAATCATCATTTCAATCTAAATTACATTGTATGTCATGGACATCTAGTATAACTTAGGGTTTAACTGAAATTGACATGGATTGACAGCTCCACGTGATAGTCACATAAGTTTGTTCAACGGAAGACTAAAGAACGTATAAGTTTGGACCTCAATTGCTAACAGGCCTCGTCACGGGAGTTTAATTAACATATTTTTCACTACGAGGGTGACATTAAAAGTGGCGTGTCAACACAAGGACCACACAATTTTTTTTGGCCTATTTCTTTGAGATATATATATATATATATTATTCCTACCAGTGCTTGTTTGTTTATCTTTTACACAAGTTGAAATAAATGTAACGCATCTAATTAAATAAGATAGACAATTTGTAACGCATTTTTTACCCAATCAATTACAACAAATAGATAGACAATTTGTAACACTTTTATCAATCGTCACCATGTGTTTTATACAGTTTGGTGATTGAAAAATAACTTATTTTATATATTCTTCCTTCAAAACGTTGAGTAGCCTAGTATTATTCTAATGACACGTTTACATATAGGTAATCGGAATCAAAATACGGAATTAAATTCCGATTACGGGATAACCCAGTATTTACCAAATATTGGGGAATAAAAAATTTGGTGTGACCCACTCAAATTTTGGAATCCAACTCCAGAATTTGAATTCCCTACATTTAAGCGGGAATTGAATTCCGGGTTGTTGGGGGTATCAAAATAGATTTTTACCCTCACTTATTTCTAAAATTTCAAACTTGTCCTTCACATTAACCCAGCACCACAAACTGTTGCTTAGTTTAATATAAAATCTTCCAACAATGAATTCAATTCTGACTCATTTCTATTCCAATTCTTTATCAATTCAATTCCTCCTTAACTCAATTTCTCCCATTTTAATTACGGATTAATAAACTAACCATAAAAAAAATCTTCCAATCGGTAAAGAGTATAGAAGAAAAAGGAATAACATGGATTGAAGAGAAAAGTTGCTTATGAATGTCAAGTGTCCCTTGTAAAAGAGTCAAAACTTACCGATTGGACATCCATTGTCTACGCTCATTGTTTCTCTATAATTGACCATGAAAAGCAAAAAATGGCCGTAACTAAAGAGTGCATAGGGGGAGCATATTGATTCTACTTGATTTGGTTACGTGAGTTGCGTTTATCACTCCAAGAAACTTAATTATTTTACACACACTAGCCTTTATACATGAGCTCACGTGCGTGCACAAGACAATTTTTGAATCACAGCGTGTTACGTGCGACTTACACTTTTTAAATGTATTTATATGCATAAATTGACAAAAAGAAAGTCAAATATTTGAAGTAAATGAATAATCTTAGATCATGCTAGAAGAAACCCTTCATAAACCAAACAAATCAAAGCAGCTAAATTCACATAATAAAATTGATCTATATTGAATTTACATTAAGAATAGAGAAAATAATATTTAATAAACAACTAATTGAATCACATTATTGTTAGTCCATTGTGAGACTAAGCCCACCTCCTCCCCTTTAGTGTAAATAATATCGTTTGTTTAAAAAAATAAAAAAACAATCATTTGATAACTAATTTAATCACATTATTATCCGCGTGCAAAAGACCTTTTTTATAACCGATATTACAAGCCTCTTAAGATGCTTTGAACGTGTTTAAAAATAGAGAAAATAATATTTAATGAACAACTTATTGAATTACATTATTGCTAGCATGTTGTGGAGTACTAATTATTAAAAAAAATTGTACAAAAAAAAAATTAATTATTAAAAAATACTGTTAAAATAACAAAAATACCTCTGCCACATTTGATGCATTATTTTGGACTGCTTTTGAAATATTTTGTTTGAGGGGCATTCCTGTCCACTTCTTTTATGAAGCTTTGTGACCCTAAAAAATATTGTTCATTGGGCTGTTGGCTTTATATATAAGATAACTGAATATGATATCGGCACATCACTCTGTTTGGCGGACCAAAAATCCTCTCTCCGCCCGACCTTGCCAAAAAAAGGGAAACGCAATGCCGACGAAATTAAATTGTCCTTGACATAGTCTAATAAAATTCTCATAAGTGCACATATTTATGTTATTTACTAAACATGCGTGCTAACATATTATTTGGTTAACAAATTTGACAATTTTAGTTTTGTTACTGAAGTAATAGCATTTTCACCAGCCAAAATGGTGATGTCGATATAGTCGAATCAAACTAGTACATTTGTCTCTTAAAAAAATTGTTACAATTTTTGCAAAAAAGAATTGTTACAATTACACAACTGAAAAACATGGAGAGGAGAATATGAACTCATGTTGAATTTGAAAGGGTAACACTGCCACTGTGTAGGAGGACTTTAGGCCGTCTCCAACCAAAGGCTGGCCAGAGGGCTTGTTTTAGCCCTTTGGCCCTCCAAGAAATTAATATTTTAATGAACAGTACATGTCCATATTTCTTACCATCTCCAACCGAGGGCCAAAGAGCCATATGGCTCGTTTTAGCCCTGACGCAAAAAACTGTCTCCAATCGAGGGCCAAACATAATTTATTATTTAAAAACTACAACTCAAATTCAAATCCAACGACTAAGTGACTTCAGCTAGCTATTGGATTTGAATTTTTTGGGGCTATAAATAAGGTGGATATTAGGCTATAATTCACACAACTTTGAATTCAATCTATTTCAATTCAATCTCTTTCAATTCAAGTTCGCAATAAATTCCAACTTTGGATCCTCTTTGGATTCCAACTGGGGGTCCTCATCCAATTCCAAATTGGAAGAAAAATGGGCGCAAATGAGACGAGAAGATGAGAAGTCTGATGAAGAAGATGAAGTATGACGCAACGCACAAAATAGAGCAGTAACCATGGCTGTGGCCATGGTGTGTTAGCCAACTACGCAACAACCTCAATGGGATGGCTCTATTGCTGGTCACTCTTACAAACCACGAAACAGAGCGATGACGCATGCCAATTTGATGAACAACTACTTCAACCCCAATTCGGTGTACACAGAAGAGGATTGCAAACGTCGCGTCCGGATGAGGCATCATTCAAGCGTGTACTTTGTGATGTCCAGCAGGTCAATCCATACTTTCGACAGAAGCAGGACAGAGTAGGCTGCCCTAGTTTCTCACCTCATCAAAAGGTTACTGTTGCACTCCGAATGATGGCATATGGCTCCCAAGTTGATTCGATGGATGAAACCCATGGTATGTCTGAGTCTGCATACCTTGATACTCTTAAACAATTATGTGTCACAATTGTTCAAGTTTACAAAGATGAGTACATTCGCGAGCCAAATCACGAAGGTCTGGATCAGCTCATTCGCAAAGCTGAAGACTGTGGGTTTCTGGGCATGATAGGGTCATTAGACTACATGCATTGGGATTGGAAGAACTGTCCCACCGGATGGCAATGAGGCTTCTGCGGAAGGTCGAGAAAGCTAACTGTTGTGTTAGTGGCGATTGCCTCGAATGACATATGGATCTGACATACTTTCTTTGGAGTTCTTGGATCCCAAAATGACATTATAGTTCTTGGGCGTTCCACCCTCTTCAATAGCCTGACGGAAGGTAAATCACCTCAACTTTACTACATCAATGACCGTCAGTACAATATGAGGTATTACTTGGCAGATGACATCTACCCAAAATGGGCGACACTTGTCCAAGCAATTCCAAACCCTAGGAATGATGCCAAAAGTTGTTTACCTTACACCAAGAAGCATACTGGAAAGATGTTGAAAGAGCTTTCGGTATCTACAAACACGGTGGAAGATCATCAGCGAACCGATAAGAGGGTGGAGTCGAGAAAATTTGGACTCTGTCATGATGTCTTGCATCATATTACACAATATGATTGTAGAGGATGAGCGAGATGGGTATATTGATGGAGAGTCTGATGACGACCAAGATGATCCAAATAGGTCAAGAAGGGCTCGTGCAAAAATATATGATAGGCTTACTTGGCCTTTCAATCCAAGAATTGGTAGTATCTCTATAAATAAGTAGATGAGGCGCTATAGAATGATACGTACCCATACCACAAACAAGTACCTACAACAGGATCTTGTTGCACATATTTGGGCTAAAAATAGCATGGAGTAGGCGTTTGAAGTTTTATGTTGTTAAATGTTTTAAAAAATGTTGTTTAAGATTCATGTTGTTAAATGTTTTATTTATTTATTTATGTTGTTTAATTTATTTAATGTTGTTTCATGTTACTTAATGTTATGTAATGTTTAATGGTTTAGAAGTTATAGGGAAGAAAAAAAGAACTTTTACAATTTTTAAAACAAATTATGTAAAATATAAAAAAATAAAAAAAAGTTAAAAAAAAAAAAAACAACTAGCTGACGTAAGCAGTTAGTCGTTGCAAATTCAAATTTCAGCCCCGCTCGGGGCCAGCTGGCTGACTGGTTTGGGCCAGTCGGTTAGCCCTTTAGCCCCTTTTTGTCCAGTAGGGCTCATGAGCCATTTGGCCCGGCCTTCGATTGGAGACTGTTTTCTGGCTATTTTCGACCATCTGGCCCTCTGGATCCTTCGGTTGGATATGACCTTAGTGATTGGTGAAGACTTTGAAAAAGAAACTGACATTTATGTAATAAAATTCAATTGGTTTAGTAGAGTGTAACCAGCCATTCATGCGCTTTTTTGTTTTTTTATTTGGTGTTGGATTGGACATCAGGGGGAGAAAGTAAGGCCATCTCCAACTGAAGAAAGGTGACACACCCAGACCTAGAATGTCCACTAGGATTCCAAATCGAGCTGTCATGGTCGACACCTGGAAGGTGACGAAGCCATAAAGTGTAATGATGTGGAAAATGTGAATCAAATTAAACCTAAAAGTGCCTAATCAAAAGAGTGCACTGGTGTACAGGATTGAACCCATTTCACACGTGACGTCAGAGTATAAGAACAATACAGTAAATAGGGTAAGAGTTATACCATTGAAGATAACCACTTAAATTGAGATTTTCTATGAGTTATCGTCGATACGTAAGCTTAGCTACTAAAACCTGGAGGGGTGAAAAAGAGAAGGGTGAGTGGGCACAAAAACAAAGGTTTTCAAAATCCATTTATTTTCAGGACATTCTAACCCCTCGCTGTAAAACATGTATAGCCTCTAGAAAATCATACTACGTATAAGTATGAAATCAAATGCATGCCAATAGTAAAATACAAAAGTATGCCACAACACAATAAGTTAACAGCAATATAAATATAGGCATGTGCTCCACAATCTAAGTAAGTATGTCAGTTGGAGTCACCTAATGTGACCTGTACGACTGCACCTATTGCTCATCAATCTATGCTAGCACATGAGTCAGAGTCGCCTAATGTGACTTGTACGACAGCGCTAGGTGTAATAATAAACGTTCTAATGCTACGATCACGCGAGGGCTAGCGCTATGCGCGGTTACTTACGAGTCGGAGTCACCTAATGCAACATGTATGATAGGGCTAGGACCTACTTGGATCCGAAACGAGCGTGCGGTGCGGAGGTGAACATCACGTGAAAGACTGGCCCTGGCCCAGGGCGGGAGTACTAACACCGAGTGCAGCAATGATGAGCACTACATGAATATATGCATGCCATAATGATTCTATGATTGCAACAATATAATAACTTACCTATACTTACCTGCGTATCCCGTAAGATTATTTTAGCATCTCATAATAGTGCAACATTTATGAGCAAGTAAAATGCATATGAATATGCCATGACAATATGTAAATCTCAACCACACAACAACATTTTCGAAATTAAATAAATCATGGCATAAAATGCATAAATCGATTTAAAGGCATTTGTGAAAACTATAAGGTGTACACACACACACACACACGCACACACACACACACACACACACACACAGACAAAGTGCCCATTCACAGATACACAGTAGGAACGAAGCCTCCGAGCCTTGTTTGACCCCATACGTCCTCAGGATACATTTCCCTTATAGGTGAAATTACTAATGCAATTAGTTTAATAACACATATACGGAAACTTAAATAAAACCCTTAAAGTTTGCTCAAACATAGGGTTTAAATATATGAAATTGATCTAGTCGATGTCAGGACCTACACAAATTGACAGAAAGGTAATCGAAGGCCGGACACGCCACCACGCACGGGTAGAGACTGACAGAGGCTCTAACGGCTATTAAGAATATTCTGTTAAAGTGACCGGATATTCTATTAAATGGTAACGGCGTTACCTGATGCCATTAGAATATTCTGTCGGAGTTGACGAAATATTCCGTCAAAGTTGAAAGAATATTCCATCGTCTTCTTCGGTGGTCCTCATCGGTCGCTACCATTTGAACTCGCTGGAAATCTAGAAATCTTCGCCGGTTTCTGGGTAAAATTTCAAAGCTTCATAACTTGCTCATTTCTTAACCATTTTTCACAAATTTAATGGAAATGAAGCTTATGATGAGTCGAACACGATTGTACATTTTGGAAGTCCAAAAAATGGACGGAAGTGGCCTGAAAATGTCTCGAAAGGTTCGAGTTAAACTCCGACTTCTCCAAACCTTATGTTTCGAGGTTATATCTTCTTCAACCCTTCACTAAAGACCTCAGGGAGTTGAGTGGAGACCTTTAGACTTCTTAAAAACTTGTATCTCGCTCGTAACTCGTCGGGGAAAAACTGAGCAGAGTTTGACCTTCCGAGTTGGCGAGTCAAAACTCGTCCAAATCGTGATATGGGGGTACGACTGTGTTCGTGGAGGTAAGACGAGTTCGAAGGTGTGGTTTTCAAGGCATATTTGTGTGTTTTGGTGTCTGTTTGAGAGAGTTGCAGAGTAAGAGTGTGAAAGGGGGTCTTCGGGGAGAAAGAGAAAAGAGAGAAATGTTTGCTTAGTTTCTGATTGGTAGAACATAAATGGAACTTGTTTTCTGATTGAGCGTTAGTGAGAGAGGGAAAACAATTGATTGCTGAAGAAGAAAATTAGAGAAAAAGGAATGGTGGTGATGGATTGGTGGAAAAAATCAAATTGAATAATTTGATTGGTTGTTGGAGATAAGGGGACCGGATCCACCAATTAGGGAAGGGAAGGATTTTGTACAATTTTTAATGTACAATATCTGTAACATCCCACATCGCCCAGGAGAGTGGATCATGTAAGCCTTATATGTATATTCTTTTCTCTACCTAGCACGAGACCTTTTGGGAGCTCACTGGCTTCGGGTTCTGTAGGAACTCCGAAGTTAAGCGAGTTCACGCAAAAGCAATCCCAGAATGGGTGACCCACTGGGAAGTTCTCGTGTGAGTTCCCAGAAACAAAACCGTGAGGGCGTGGTCGGGGCCCAAAGTGGACAATATCGTGCGACTGTGGAGTCGAGCCTTGGATGTGGTGGGGGCCTAGGCTGGGATGTAACAATTTGGTATCAGAGTCTAACTTGGTCGTTTTTGCCTACGAAGACGTCGAGCCCCTAAGGGGGGTGGATTGTTAGATCCCACATCGCTCAGAAAAGTGATCCTTATATGTATATTCCTATCCCTACCTAGCACGAAGCCTTTTGGGAGCTCACTGGCTTCGGATTCCATCGGAACTCCGAAGTTAAGCGAGTTGGGGGCCAGAGCATTCCCAGGATGGGTGACCCATTGGGAAGTTTTCGTGTGAGTTTCCAGAAACAAAACCGTAAGGGCGTGGTCGGAACCCAAAGTGGACAATATCGTGCTACGATGGAGTTAAGCCCGAGATGTGGTGGGGGCTTGGGCTGGGATGTGACAATATCTACCTCTTTGATAGTGTTTCCGACATTGTAAATTTGTGCGTGCGTGTACAAAATTACTCGTGATTAATGTATTTTAATGATGCATAACTTTTTCGTTACAGATCCGATTTGAGTCTAACACGCGCTCACACGCTCGTAACAACGAGTACTTTTTAAGTAGGAAACCAGAAAAAAAGAAACAATAGTCGAAAAACTACGTCCACATCAAATTCCACATTTGTCCAAAGACGGGTAAAATCGTCAAATTGCCCAAATGGAAAAGAAATTACAGTGAGAACTAAGGACGGGTCGTCACAAAGGGCTAGAGGGCTCATTTTAGCTCTCTGATTCTCCAAGAAATTAATATTTAAATGAAGGGTCATATTTCTTACCATCTCCAATCGAGGGGCCAGAGGGCCATAGGCCAAACATAGCCTTGTGAAAAAAAACCATCTCTAACCGAGGCCCAAACATAATTTATTATTTTAATTGAATTACTGTGGTTATTTAAATTAAATTACCTCAATAATTTTATGTTATGGATTGTCAATAATTTTCATGTTGTTAAATGTTTGTAAAAATGTTGTTTAAGTTTCATGTTGTTAAATATTTTTTTTATGTTGTTTAATGTTACTTAATGTTATTTAATATTGTTTAATGTTGTTTCATGTTACTTAATGTTATTTAATGT